GATATGTATGTACATATGAATTATATATTTGCATGATCACTTGAACAACATGCAAAAGATAAAGAATTACTCATTTTACATATACAAATATCAAATCAAATGAATGTAAAGTATTACCTGTATGTATTACATTTCCTTTCTCCCTTGGCAGACACAAGTCACAAAAATGATATAGGAAGAACATAAAAGCACTTCTGAATAACGAACGAATCTCACAAGAATCTCACAAGAATCTCACCAGCCTCCATGTCATAATACGAAGAACCTTTTTGTATTATTCATACAAAATTCCCTCATCGACAAGATGCGCTGTTACGCATTCATTATCAGAAGTTATTTGTGTGCCTGTCGTTGTGATCTGGTGTTTGTGGTGGTCAGAGTTTGGGACAGTGACAGTGACCCCATTGCACAACGGCAGAAATGGATCGGGATCTCTCAGGAGCTCAGAGAAGAGGCAGGGGAGTGCCCATGAAAACAGCATCAATATAGACTCTCCTGTCTTGTCTCTGCACCCTGCACGCTCAGGGAACAAGGGTGGCAATGTAAATGTGTTTGCGGATCTGTTTCAAGAATTGGCCAAGGTAGGTTGTGTTCAGCTTTATTAAGATCTGAATTGAATTAATGGTGGATTATAGTATACTTATGGCTGGGAGTTTAGGGAAATCGTTGAAGTAAGGTGTAAGATATGGAGAGTGAAAGGTTTTGAGCATAAAGTTAAAACTGATTTCTTACAAAAGTGTGAACATTTCAGAAAAAAAGGTATTGAGTGTTAGATATGTATCAAACAACAAATTAGAAAAAGGGAGATGTAAAGAATTTGAGAAATTATATATAGAAATGAAAACGGGCGGGTGAATAAAAGATAGAAAGTAAATGGATTATTTTGCTTCGTTTAGAAAAATAGTATATAAAGATTATTTTCTTTCTTTCCATGCTCGTACTAATTTTCAAACAAATATTCAGAAAGATACATATCTTTCTGTTGAGGGTGCTCTTCAACTCTTGGTGCTCCCCAGCAAAACCTAAAGACCAACACCTCATTATACATGGTAAGAATAAAGCTTATTGACCTCCTTGGTTTCTGTAAGGACTAAGGAATCAATATAAGTTCACTCATGCCAGAAATATAGACCAGTGGAAAGTCTCATGGCTTTTGTTGAAGCACTGAGGGCACTGTCAGTATGCTCAAGTAGGCCTTCCCTCACAGATCACAAGAAGTTGCAAAATGCTGGTTTGATATACGGCTTGATAATGATAGAGGAAAAGACCCATAATGAGATCCTATTGTGGGTGATTTGTTAAATTATCAATTTTTACTTCCAGAAAAAAGATGGAGGGCTAACCAGTACATGTTTGAGACACATTTTAATACCATATTGCCTACTTTTCTCCTTGCAGGAAGAGACCTGTCCTTTGTGCTTTGGCCAGGACCTCTGTGAAGATATTCCGCTGGATTTTTAAACATTGTCATCCAGATACTCCACATGTCCATGATGCTGATGTGTCCTATGAGGCACATCTGGAGACTTGCATAAGCTGTCTGTTAAGGTAGGAATTTGTAAGTTAGAAGTTTTGGAAGATGAAGGTAAAAAAGAATGGGAAACATCTTTATTTATGCACATTATGTAATACAGTAAACCTTTGTTTAATATGCTTTTAAGATGGAAGTAGTGTCTGTTGATAAAAAAAAGCTGGTTAAGTTGAAGGTGATTCAGGTGACCATTTCTGATTTTTTTTAGAGGTCGAAAAACGTTTATTATAATGTACAGTTGTCGTTATTTGTTCTCTAATGTAAAGAAAAATCATTAATTCAGATGTGGAACGCTCATGTGGAAGCAAAACAGGTATGGGTGTTAGTAAAGGTTGCCTAAAAGAGTTGTTTGCCATTGTGAACTTGTTTCACATTACATTACATTTCAAGAGACCTACCAAAAATGTTTAAAGTAGGGGAAAGCTTAGGGTCAGATGATGGTTTGTTAACCTTGGTTACTTATCTTAACTTTCGTGTGGCAAGATTTTAACATTTTCTTTGTCTAGCCCTTGAGAAAGACTGGTACCTTGGATATCCCAAGATTTTAACTTTTTGGGATATATGTGTGTT